CATCTGCTGAGGCCCACTGGGGTTCAAGGAGACAGAAGCAGACATAGAAAAAGAAGAATAGATACAAAAGCCAACTGTCAACCAGGTCCACAGGCGGCCTACGTGACCATATGGATGATGGGTGGTCTATAATGTGTCTTGGTGGGCCATTATAGGTCACGGTCATGTATAATGGATCACAATCAACTATAATGGGCCTTGGTGTTCTATATTGGCTGATAGTAGTCTATAATGGCTATCAGTGTTCTGAACTGGGCGATGGCTGTGTGTAATGGAAGATGGTGGTCTATCATGGGTCATGGTGGTCTACAATGGTTCATTGGTGGTCCTACTGGTTGATGGTTGTCAACAATGGCTCATGGATGTCTATACTGGGTCATGGAAGTCTATAATTGGTCATCAGTCATGATGGTCTGTACTGGGTCATGGTAGTCTAAAATGGGTTGTGGTGGTCTATAATTGGTTATGGTAGTCTATAATGGGCCAAGGTGGTCCATAATTGGTCATGGTTTTCTACAGGAGGTCTTCCAACCCCTCACTCCTGCAGGTGGGAGTTTCTCATCTCCTCTGGACCGAGAACACCTCCCACTTGGAGAAGAGGGTCTAAAAACTGCTCCTGTTCCTCAAGGAGCTGAATCGGACCGGACTCTCCAGAACCACTGGGACAGAGCAGACTCATGAGATCGACCATTATCCTATCAGCTGTTACTTCGCTTCCATCAGGAAAACCATTCAGGAACATTAAGGAACGTGTAAAAACCACAGGCCTATGTTTTATTAATCAATAATTAAAATCAACCAAGCATAGAAACGTAGGTCCCCAAACCAATGAAAACATTTTGTTTTTTAATTTAGGGGTATCGGTAGTGAATAAAGTTGCTGGAAAGGTCTGAAAAGTTGCTTCATATAGTGACAAAGCAGCAACAAAGCAAAGGTGGCCACAATGTTAATTTTATAGCAGGGGGCGGGGCTGACCTTATGTGGGGCCTAACCTCCACTTTTAGAGACACCCAAAACTTCTGAAACAGGAATATTAAAACCCAAATTTACCTCTAGAGCCACAGAGCAATCATAAAAGGTCCCCAGGAGAGTAGTCTTTACTCCCGTAGAGACTAATGGGGATCCATAAATAGGTAGATAAATAAAAGTTGGAG